CCTGCCACTCCCCCCGCTGACGCCGCTGCCACCGCCTGCCATACTGTCTTGAAAGTAGAGGATGCAAGGACCAACAGCGAGGGAAAAAAGAAAGTACAAATATCGGAAGAAGAAGGAGAAGAAGAAGAAGTAGAAGGAGAAGAATAAGAAGAATAAGAAGAAGAAGAAGAGGAAGAAGAAGAAGAAGAGGAAGAAGAAGAAGTCTGTGCGGTTGTGAATGGGGCTGCTGTCAGCCAGCTTACGTCCTTTTTTAGGGGCAGGGAAAAAAAAGCGAACGGGCAACAGCGGGCAGTAGGATATGGCAGGCGGTACAACATAGCTGGCGGATGTGCGAGATGGTGGGCGGTAAGATATGGAGGAGGAAAAAGATGAGGAGGGAAGAAGAGGAAGAAAGGACAAGGAGGAGGAGGAGGAGGGAAGAAGAAGACGAAAGGAGGAAGAGGAGGGAGAAGAAGAGGAGGGAAGGAGGAGAGGAGGAGGAGAAAAAAGATGGAGACTTGAAAAACGAAACAGACGAATGGAGGAGGAGGAGGAGAGAAGAACAAGGAGGAAGAGTACGAGGAGGAGGAGGAAGAAGAGGAAGATCAAGAAAGGAGGAAGAAGATGATGAAAAGAGGAGGAGGAGGAGAAGGAGAGAAGAACAAAGGGGGAGGAGGAGGAGGAGGAGGAGAGAAGAAGAAGAAGACGAGCGGAGGCGGAGGAGGAGAGAAGGACATGATGAAAGGAGTAGGAGTAGGAGGAGGAGGAGGAGGAGGAGGAGGAGAGAAGAAAAAGGAGGGCAAGACGAAAGGAGGAGGAGGAGGAGGAGAGAAGAAAAAGAAGACGAGAGGAGGAGGAGGAGGAGGAGGAGGACAGAAGGAGAAGACGAAAGTAGGTGGAGGAGGAGAGAAGAAGACGAGAGGAGGAGTAGAGAAGAAAAAGGAGATGAGGAGGAGGAGGAGGAGAAGGAGAATACGAAAGTGGAGGAGGGGGAGAGAAGAAGAAGACAGTGGGAGGAGGAGGAGGAGGAGGAGGAGGACCTGCCAGATTCGGATGGTGATGACAAAAAAAAAGAAAGAGAGAGAGAGAGAGAGAGAGAGAGAGAGAGAGAGAGAGAGAGAGAGAGAGAGAGAGAGGAATCCCGCCCGTCAGCACGTCAACTGGCCGTGCAGCTCGCCTATCTTGGCACATGCCAGCTGTGAGCGTCGTGTTGCCAACCCCACGTGGCACCTCGCGTACTAGAAGAAACACATGAAATAGGGAGGAGGAGGAGGAGGAGAAAGGAGGAGGAGAGAAGAAGATGAAAGGAGGAGGAGGAGGAGGAGGAGGAGGAG